TTACAAGTTTAATGATTTTATGATATGGTTGGCTTACCCTTATTTGTTTGTACTATGATCATATAACTCATGTTATATGTGATTAGATAATGTTGCAGATGCGGTTGAAAAAGCTTAGAGATGAGAGAGATGCGGGGAAAAACTTTCAGGGATTTTTGTAAAAAGAATAAATTTGTATTGGGAAGATTATGTTGTGTAAAACTTATAAGTTGAAATTTCAATGGTGAAGACTATATTGTTTAAAGTTTGTAAGTTTGGTACTGTACTTTGGAGTAATTGAAATAAAGTTTGATTGTTTGATTGTTTATATGAGATATCAAATTAATTTAGTCTCTACTATTAGTAATACCCTTTAAAATATTAGGGTGTTACATGGAGTGACGATGAATTTTTTTACAACTGTCCCTAGGCTCTTAGTAATCAATTACAACACCCTTATAATCGATTACCAGGGCATCACTTGAGCAAAAATGGACATGGATCAAACACTTATATGGTTTTTTCCTCCACAATTGAATAAGCTAAGGTGTCCATTGATTACTAAATACCACCTATGAACAATAAACTCACCCATTCATCTCAAAAATTAGAAAAAATCACCCAAAAATATAGTTAAAACCATCATGGGAGTCCAGTTGTCCCAGCTGGGGAGTAACGTTGAACTTTCTGTATAACTGCCTCCTAGGCCCTTAGTAACCGATTACAACACCCTTGTAATTGAATACCAAAGATTTAGGGGCAGTTGTACAGAAAGTTCAACATTACTCCCCAGCTGGGACAACTGGACTTCCATGATGGTTTTAACTATATTTTTGGGTGATTTTTTCTAATTTCTGAGATGGATGTGTGAGTTTATTATTCATGAGTGATCTTTAGTGATCAATGGATAACTTAGTCCATTTAATCGTGGAGAAAAAAGCATATAGGTGTTTGAACCAAGGTAAGTGAATGTTGATTATACACGCTTGTAATCGATTACCAGGGCATCACATGGGCACCAATGATCATGGACTTCATCTGACTTTGTGCAAAGCACCTAAATGGCCTTTTTCTTCCACAAGTTAATGGGCTAAGGTGTTCATTGATCACTCAATATCAGCCATGACGAATAAATTCACTTATCCATCTCAAAAAGTGGAAAAAAGGAGCAAAAAACACAGTTAAAATCATCATCGAGAGTCTATTTGCCCAGTTGGGGAGTGAGGTTGAACTTTTTGTACAATTGCCCCTTGGGCCCCTGGTAATCAATTAAAACACCCTTGTAATTGATTACTAGGGCATCACATAGGCACCGATGGTCCTGGACTTCACCTGACTTTGTTCAAAGCACTTAAATGACCTTTTTTTCTAAACAATTGAATGGGCAAATGTGTTGATTGGTGCACTAAACACCACCCATGAATAATAAACTCACCCATCCATCTGAAAAATTGAAATAAAGGACCCAAAAACACAAGCAATGATGACATAACTCCCCCTTACAAGGAAAAAACATGACAAGATCACTCAATTGAATTGGATATTTTTTTAGGTAGCGACGTTCAAGCTTATCAAGGTCACTTACATAATCAATTTTTGTACCAACCACCCATAACCAAATAAACATTTCAATATATGTGGTCAAACAACACTAGGAGAAAACATATAGTACTAGATCAAAATTGAAATTTTATTCATACAATATATGATCAATACATATTACCCAATATCTATAATCATAATCTTTTGTATACAAAAAACTTGTACAAGACTCATACAATGTAAATATCTAGACAACTAATCAACGTACAACTGAAAACCTATAACAATCCTAAGTCTTGTAGCACTTGTTGTCTTCGCACGTTGTCATTGCCTAGAATCCAGTCACATACATATTTTTGTCTAAATACTTGCAACTTCTTTTGAAATCAACACAATAAATAACAATACTATGAGATGCTTCCATTAATGTATCACAACAATAACAATACTCCAGTAAAGACTCAAATAACAAGTTTCACCACTGCGATCAAATTCGCCTACAATAACGTATATAATAAATCCATCACCAACAAAAAACAGAGTACACAACACACATACATTAAGCTCTCCACTTTCCTACTAATCCTCTGATTTATGGAACAAAGACAAGGGAGAAAGGAAAATAGAGTTAGAAAGAGAGAGAGAAATGATAATACAATAGTCACTTAATTATTTGTTACAAGGGTTTAAGATTTGAATCTATATATACTAAAGATTTATTTTCAATAAAAGGCAACAAAGTTTCTAACTCATTAACAATTGAAAACAAATTGTTGTTACAACAAGAGAAGTTCAACTTAACATACAACCCATACACATGAAACTAATCTAACTAAGAAAAACCAAATTCATTTTCTTTACACAACTCATACGTCTACAACAACATTATCACTAACAAAATGCATAACCCTTGAGTTCATGGTTCTACCAAACTCGACATGACGAAAAACCTTTTTTCTCACTGAACAAAACTCAAACCCTCAAGAAAGGAGACACCTTTATTCATGGAGAGCACGAGAGAAGCGAAGAGACAGAATGCTACAACGCTAATGAAGCAACATTGGGGAGGTCACTTTTAAGATCATAATGGATGACAAAACAAGGGCAATCGCAATGATAACCCAATTAATACACTCATTTAAATCATAATGTGATTAAATTACTTTCCATTAATTGCGTAAATCAAATATTTAATTTTCCAATTTAAACCAACTTAAATAAAATATAGTTTTCATATTTTTAAACGTGAAAAAAAAATCAATAATTCGATTCATTATTTCTTTTTTCAAAAGCTCATGCCAAATATTATTATCTTCTTTGATTTATTATTTTTTTAATTTTAAAATAATTAGTTTTCGCTTTTGATACTTAATTTTACGTTCTATTTTGGATTTTGTTTTCATTCATCTTTATCATTTTCAATTTCAGCAAGTGACTTAATTTCATCGTACTTATCGTCAAATTTATAATATCATATTTGGATTAAGAAATCATTATGGTAACTATTTTAAAACTAATTGTACAATAAAATTACTTTACAAAATAATGACAATAATTTTTTTTACCATAATTCTATAATTAGATTTAAACCAACCCCGTCTTAACCATAATTGGTTGAATTTGAATTGGTTAAAAAAGATCAAAATTAAAATCAACTTAATTAAATTTAAATCAATTCAAATTTAAATACTTTACCAAATAATTCATAAACAATCTCCTATTTGGTTCTCTTTCTAGTCGAGGCCAACTTTAACAACACTCTTCTTTTGCTCATTAATCATTTGAACTTTTAATTTACATCTATAAAATTGTATCATCAATCGTTTGAACTTTAAATTAACATCCAAAGATGTTTCTGACAGCCTCACTTCTGCACTATACAGTCTCTTGAGTGGAGTATCTGGGTCCAGTAGTCCAATTTGATTCCCCGACTTCGATTATGCTATCAGGAACTTGTGGAGTTGTTTCCCATGGAGGTTGTCTACCAACTGAACTTTCTTGGCCCTCTACTCCTTCAGTGTGAAAGATCCTGCTTAAATCCACGGACTTATCGGTCAATCCACTGTCTTTGCTTTCACTATCCTTGCTACGTGCTTCATTCTCAGACCCATCTCTATGATGACTTTCCTCCTCTTCATGCTCATTATAAACTGAATTTCCAACTAATAATTCCATATGCCTGGTGGTTCTTTTCATCAATGGGCTTAAGGGCCTGATGTCCGTTCTTCGATATGAATCTAATGGCTCCCTTGGAACCTTAGACCTGAAATTGTTCTTGGACGGAGGAATCCTAGAGCATAACACTTCTTTGAAGTTGTTAAATATACCTCTGTTGTATGGGTTGGTTTGAGGGTCATACCGGTATTTAAAATTTTCGTAAGTAGACTGCACATTAGACAAGAAGAATTTTCATCAACATACGTAAGAAAACCAAACTAGAAATGCACCATAGTGCTTCATTGTTTGTGTACCCATGTCATCCACATAGCAGACTACCTCAGTTCAAATGTAGAATGTAACAAACGACGATTGCATGTCACAGGAATAGTGAAAGTCAGAATTAGTGTTTCAAAGAACAATGAGCCGAATGGCATTCAAACCTGGTTTGTGCTGATGAGGTACGTGTGGAAAACAGCGAGGCCGCCAACAAACCAGACACAAACGAAGGTGTAGATTATTAGTGCAGTGGATGCTATAGTTTTGGACATTGCTTTCCAAATTGATATTTTCTCGAAGTCCTTGATCCTTACAATGTAAACCCAGCAAAAGGCATGTACATACAAGCAAAGCAGAGTGGCTGAGAAAACAAACATGTAGTAGAACCGGTAATTTCGCTGCGGCAATGTACATACAAGCAAGGAGTAATAGAAAAGGTTATTCAGCAACTTCACGAATCTATATATCTGATACAAACGTGATTGTTTTTTCATTGTTGTTTGTCCATGTGCATGTCATATTATACGATGTTGAACATGAAAACAGAAAAATACCAACACGCATGCAAAATAATTACCATTTTGTACTATTCTTCCAAATTTTATTTTGTGAGAACACAGGATAAAAAACATCCCTTCTTAGAATACGATCAGAAAAATAACAAATACTATGAACATCAACAAGGGGTTTGTCAAATGTGCATATAGGAATCCAAAGCTATTATCTATAAGTCCAAGGGACATTACTATTTCTCCTCGCATAATATTTTTGTCAAGTATACACTCAATTTAATTTTACGTACTATTTAACTCAATCCCACAAAATATCACATTTAATGATAAGAAATAGACTTTAAATATAACTCAACACACCAAACTAAGACTTGCATTTACTTACATGTTCTAAAATGACTTTATCTCTAGTGGGACTTCCAATAGTATTCATGGTTAATAAGCCTGCCGGCCCTCATTAAATTAATATACCCATATCTCCTTTCTATTTGTCGCTGACAAAGCATTTGAGCAGACTGAACTAATAGTACAAATATCCCAGTAAAATTTAATTTTTTTCTCTGGGGAGGGTACTTCACAAGGCCAATAAAATTTCATGAAATAGTAAACTCGTGAGATAAAGATTGCAGCAGATAACAAATGAGAAGGAAAGTGCAAAATTCTAATGTCTGAGATAGTGTTTCTTGAATACAATAAATGTGAAATTATGGAAGGATGACCATTACCAGTCCAATACACTGACCCACCCATGGGCAGTGATGATCAAATCGCTCTACGCAGTTATCACAGACTGAACAGTGAGAAGCACGGAGGGGTCTGTAGAGCATGCAAGTATCACAATATTTGACTTTCACTGTTATACCATTTACAATTACATCCCTTGTCCGTGGAAATCGTGACGTTGAAATTTGCCCATTGTTGCTATTCTCAGTCCAATTATAGTCATCTGGCTCCGGAGGATGAGCATTACGAGGTACTATGCCAGGATCTCTTCCTGAGGTTACTATAAGGGTGGTTAGAACCTGCAGGCAATACGCTAGAAAAGTTAGGAGTGCAGTAGCGAATGAGAAAGTCTTTGCTGTAAGAGATCTTGATATCCGCATTATTTTTCACTCATTTAAATGGACCAAAAAAAATGCGCTAGAGAATCGTGCAAATCAGAAATTTTTTATCCATGTAGGTTCACAGTTGCTCAAATAAATTACGAAGGCTATGTTTAATTATGAAAAGTCTTAATACAAAACTAATATAAATAAAGTTTATATCGTATTAAGTGAGAGGTTAGAAAGCAGTAGATATGATCCTTATGCCTGATTAATATTTATCGGAACCAATGATATTTTGCTTCACTTTTAAATGACACTCCCTCCTCTCATTCCAATTTGATCTCAAAACTCTGTTTCCTATTACAATTTCTTAAAATGAATTGCTTTTTAAGCTATAATGAAACATGTTGAAAACTTAGCCGAATCCAGATGTCATTTCTATAAATAGTGACAGGGGACAAATATACAAGCTGTATGAAGTAAAATTGTCGAGGATAATAATATTTCACTTCTAATTAGAAAAAGGAGTTCCTTTCAAAGTGTGTAGATGAATTTTAATGCCTTTTGCTTTTCACCCATTCACTTATATAATTTTATTAAAATTATTACATTTAAGGAAAATGAAAATTATATGCAACCAAGAAGGTATTTATTGTTAAGGGGTTATAGGAAAAATTCTTCATGCTTTGAATATCAATTACTAAATGCAGAGTTGCATACACTTACAAGTAAAACAGAGCAAATATAGAACTTCAGTGCTGTGATAACTACAAACACAGTATCAATGAATGGAAATGGAAAAATATGTCTGTCGGCTCTGGTCATTATGATTTCTATAACAGGATTTTCTAGATATGTTTCCTTAAAAGATAATGTGCTGATAAAGATAAAAAAAAATATCATAAAAGTTATAGGGCAAATAATATAATTCACAAAAGAAAAACAGTCTCGTTATAAAGAATTTTAAACAAATCATCAGGTATAAAAGAAAAACTTGACTCATTATAAAGAAGTGTTATACTGTACTTTAACCCGAGATCGTCATGTATAAACTTAAAAGTCACTGTAACATAGTTTTTTATTGGTTCATCATCTAAATATTCTTTACACTTCGGATGCATAGAAATTAAACTTGAAAAAAAAAACGATACAGGTGACAGGGGAATCATCGGGCGTATTAATAGACTATTACTTCATCTATCAATGGAGTCGTATACGATATTCAGATAAAAAAATAACTTACAAACAGTGTGAGAGCAATAACCACACCCATTATTGACCATCCAGAGTGATGAGGAAAATCATCCAACAATTTCCTCGCTACCAAACCACAGAACACCGCGATGGGAACAATAATAAGAAAAACTGATATAAATATTGATTTCACATCAGGCCCAAATATGAGTCTCCCTCCGAAAAGAAAAACCTGAGAAAATTGAAACCACGATTTCAGAAAAGCCAAAGACCATCACCAATAACAAAAACAATACAAGTACTATTTTAATAAACAGAAAAATTCAATTATGCAGAAACAGCACGTTGAAAATATTTCAATCCATTTCACTACAGCATAACCAGAAACTCTAGAGTCTTTTTGGTATCCGCATGCTCCCGAATTAACTCGGTGTTGATTGACACAGAGAACTCGGAATCAAACTCAGAGAGGTGAAAGATGACCTAAAAAAGAATCATATAAGTGATCGGAGAAAGTTACGTGTTACTTACGTTACTGCCTTGCCAGACGCGATAAGTTCTGACCAGCGACGGAGCGGAGGTATTGGCGGAATCTGAATTTGCCGGCGGCGGCGGCAACGACATTGTGATAGTGAAGATCGCAATTAAAGCGGCAAGGCAATGATTAGCGAAATGAATGGATGATTAAATGAAAATTGAAAAGCGAAAGAAGACACCAAAATCAGGACGCCACCTCTGGTCAAAGCCTCCAAGGGCGAACCAAAGGGCAACTTCTCTCTCTCACCATTTTTAATTAATTTCTTATTTTATTCCTTTGACTTTCGTAACTATTTCTCATGTTCAAGTTTTTCAATGGAAATCATTAACTTTCTAGTTTCCTGCATTTACCTAACTTTTTTCTTTAATTTTATTATATTATATATGATATGAAAATGATTGGTTAATCCCTTAAAATCCGGTTAAAAACCGAAAATCATAAGAAATATTTCATTTCTAAAATATAGAATTTCGTAATAACTTTTTATTTAATATTTTACCTTTAAAATATTTATTACAATTTAGATATGGGTCAAATATTAAAATATATCTACATAAAAACTTGTGAAAGAAAATGTTTTCTGCATTATCTTCCTATATCCAATATTTTTGCGTTAAGCAACTGAAATATTAGGGGCGTTGATGACGAGGTAACTTACGTTAAGCAAACACACTGTCCGTTCTAAATAAGATTTAGAGTTAAAAATTGTTTGAACAACTGAATACTACAAATCTTCAAGTTGTTTGATTTTTAAATTAAGAAAAGAATTTATGATGGTAACAAAATGGTAATTCTACGTAAATAATATTTGCTCTCGGACTTTTATATCTATAAACAATATAATATTTTATTTTATGTGTGAATAAATAATAGTTAAATTTTTTTAGATTTTACTTAGATTTAATAAACTTTTTGGTCTATGTAATATATGTTGTCTTAGTTTTAGTATATATTTTATAGTATTTTAATTTCAAATTACTTTAATATCTGCAATTAATTTTCTTTGTTAAATGATTCATGATTACATTATGGTGATATTTTTATGACGTTATCATTTACGTTTAGTAAAACTGTCAACTCAATTAATCATAAAAATTAATATTACATTATCATATGATCTCTCAAGCATTAAAATAAAAGAAAATACCATATGTAGAAGAAGAGTTTTAATTGTACGATCTCTTAAGCATTACATAATTTGAATTGTATAACTAATAAACCAAAGTTAAAGTATAAGTTTCAAAATTAAAATATGATGACAGGTTTGTTACAATAAATGTTATATATTAAAAACATGAAACAATAATAGTTATATAATTTAAACTGAAGAATAATTATGATTGCCAGATAAATTAAAGATAGGAAACTACCACAAATTAGACCACGATGTACAGATGAATGATAAATAAATAGATTCTTAAATTACTCTAGCTATACACGCTTAACCATGAAGTTCTTATGAGTTAGGTTATCGAAAAGCAAATTCATTTTGATGATATGAGTAACCAAATCAATCCCTTTAAGCTATCCTTCAACTATATAGTCTCATACTTATACAGTCTCTAGATCTCTCTCGTTCCGGTGTATGTTCGATTCATCCATGTGTCCCTTCCACTGGAAGCAGAAGCCACACTTTGTTTGTGCCCCTTGCACTTCGTGTCTCTTACACCGGTGATCACTCCCCGCCCTCGTCAGTGCCCAGGTGTCACATGTCCTTTTTGTGACATCTCAATTATATAGAAAAACATATATAATAAAAACGTCATCACGCATAATATAGGAAAGCAGTCAAGAGTAATTAGGATTACAATCATCCTCAAAATAGCTTTAGAATTTAAACTTTAATAAAAGAGGTCTAAACTGTAAACTTAAAGAGAAAAAATATTTCAAAATATCATCAAATGACTAAGAAGCCCCTAAGAAGCCTAAATTGCAGCATCGTCGTCTTCTTCCAAAGTTGTCTCCAAAGAAACCTCCTCACCATCTGCTCCCATCCAAGTGGATGATCATCGCAAAAGGAATCATACACAAACAACACAAACAAGCAAGGGTGAGCTAATTATATAAAACATACCCAATATGACAATATACATGCAAGAGTTAACTTCAATCAGGCAAGGTAAACACACATCCTAACATGTTGATTACTAGACTTGACTCGTCCGGACTTTAGAATGATAGTCGAGCTATGGCGGGTCTTGCACTCGTGGTGGCTTATGAAACTTGGGTTCCCCCACCCTACCACACTCACGAGGTTAGCCTGTTCCGGGCCTTGAGGCATACTGGAAGCCCCCAAGACTAAGACCTCCTGCTACTCCTCACCACATGGTTCAATCCTCTCTACGTGAGAAGAAAGCCCATTGGAGTTTCAGGATGACCCCCAAGACTGAACTCATACTTTCATTCTAAACAACTAAGGGCACCACCATGGATCTTCTCCTTGAAGATCCTGGAATTACGTCCATCAACCATACTTGTTACACTCTACCACCAAACATATGTCATACCATCACATACCATCATACTATGTATTTCAATCATTTCACACGCTTGGTTCACCCAAAGCAAGAACAAAAGAGAAGACTGGACCGAAAAGGTTCGAACAGCGCACCCTATGCGCAAGGCGAGACAAAAGGATCTCGCACAACGCACCCCTTAATTCGCATAGCGAATTAACTCGCAGCATGCATCAGACTTCAAACCTCTCGCATAGCGCACCCAAGTCGCTATGCGAGAACCCAGACAGAGACCCACCCCCTTAAAGCTCTCGCTATGCGCCCCACTCGCCTCTCGAATTAAAAGGGCAGTGGTTCCAGACCCCACTAGTCGCATAGCGACAAGATTCGCCAGACGAATCCACAAACAAAGAGCAGCACCCTCTGGTTATTCGCATAGCGCACCAACTTGCACAACGAATGACTCAGACAGTGAGCGCCCTCTACAGGGTCTCGCTATGCGAGACAGCTCGCATTGTGAGTCTGCATAATCTACAGAACGCGAATTCTACAAATTCATGCAACTCACACCCCAGAACTCGTTCTATACCTCTTCCTTTTCTAATGATCCTAGGTCATAGTATATGTCTAATTAAACTTGTCTATATGATTATAAATATTATTAATATGATTCTAAAGTGATCAATACCCAACTTTTAACTTAAAACTCCGATTTCATTAACCCAAGAATCCAATTTCAATTCTACCATTTTGAACATGACTTTACTCAGTTTTATGACCATAAAAAGTTCTAATTGACTCATCCAAGCTAGACAAACTGACCAATTGCACTCAAGACCACCTATGCTCAAATTTACTACCTCACTTCCCCTCATAGTAACCTAAAACAGTACATGTGCACCTACTTACTATCCATATTAACAATATTACAAAATTCTTACTCCAAACCTCTACAATAAAATTAAGTACAACCAACAAACTCATCCAAGTCAAATAATAATCAGTACACCATGGTTACACCAATTTCACATTTTCAACAAATGCAACTCAACATGCTCACCACCAAAAGTATAGTGTAACAGTAAGACAATTCACAATTTATCAAACATGCACATCATACAGCTCCTAAAAAAATATAACTAGCTCCCCTTACCTAGGTTTCTCCAAGCACAACTAATTGAAACTTCCCTGACAGTACCCTTCACAGCACGAGAACTCAACCTGACCCTACAAACCACCAAAGTGGTGACATCAACAACTATTAGAGCTTGATTTAATTAACATAAAATATGAAGACGAAACCCCACTAGCAACATGCAACCAGTAACGTTGCATGCCCTAGGCTCCAGAAACAGCGAAGGAAAGGGGAAAATCACTTACCGGTCCAAACGAAAATATGATCGGGTCAAAAGGAAACCTTCGGTGTGGTGAACGCTTGAGCACCTTCAAACCTAAGATTGAATAATTCAGTGAATGGAAATTTTTAGAGAGAAGACAGAGAAAATTTAGGGCAAAAGAGTTTTGAGAGAGAGAGAAAGAACTCAAGTAACTGAATCAGACTTATGAGAAGTCTTTCCTAATACTAAGTTGTCCCTGGTTTGATGGGCCTGACTGCCTCACATAAGACACAATGACTCCTTTATTTTTCAGGCCCTTAAAAGTCATATATTGAAAAAGGACAAATAGTTATATCAAAAATTAAAAAAAAAAGTTAAAAGAGAATTATTTTAGAAAGATGATAACTTATATAAAATGAAGTTTAAATAGTTAATTTTTTTTATTTACAAGTTTTTTTAACAAATAATAAAAAATTTAAACTTCACCTGTTTTTACTCTTAAATAAAACAACTTGGTTTTTACATAAGTTAAGTTCTCTTATATTACTTTTCTAGATTTTTAATTTTAGTATGTGGTAAATAATTTTAGTTATGCTTTTTTTTTCTTTTTTAAATATTTCATATGAACATAAGTTTGTTTTAAAAAGACATATAATTAAGGGACACACGTCACAATGAAACGTTCTAACCTAGAAGGTATACATTTAATCCAATAATTAATATATATGAGACACCCTAATCACCCATACATGCATCTGCGTTTGGATTCAATTTTCTGTTCATTAAATCTCGCACAGCTGTCTCTATTGAAGTCATTGCGTACCCACATTTCTAAATTGTGTGGACTAATTTGAACCTTAATTTGTTGGTCGTCCGAAGAAAGTAGATTACTTTAATTTGAATTAAATTAACTCAATCTTAATTAGATTAGTTTGATATTTATGTTACTTAAGAAAATTCAAAACTTAATTAAATATTAATAAATTCAAAACGAAATTAAATCTCTAGTAGTTCTCTTTCCACTTTGTAAGCTTTATTAATTCAGAAACTAGGCCCAATTTCCCACTCATGATACTACTAAGTGAACTTTAAATTTTCTATTCACACCCACTTTTTCTTGTTTTCACCACTCTCCGTTATTCATCGCCCTCCCCTCCACTGATTTCTCTTCGCCAATGATGAAGAATATCAATATTTTAACTTTATTAACATCAGAGTTATAGCCAATCAGACCCCTTAACCTGCATTCTTTCTATTATGAAAAGAAAAATCATAATTATCAAAATAATTTTAACAAATACTTTTCGAAACAATTCTATATACACTTTTTTTTCTACAATATTTCTGAAAATTACTTTCCAAAATGTTCTCATAAGGTAACTTTCGAATAAAAAAAAAACATACTTGAGTCTTTTTTTTCACTCAAAATTTTAATAAAGAATATTTAACATGAACAAAGGAATCTAATAAAATTAG